ATTGAACTCAATAGCAGAATCTGAGGCTGTAAGCTGACCATCGTTATTGGACAGGATTAAAACGATTCTTCGCGGCGGGGATCGTATTCCAGGGACCTGCCCGAAACGCAACGCGTACTAGTGGCTGTACAAGAATGTAACAACTCTTGTATATATCTCAAAAAAAAAAAAAAAAAAAAAAAAAGAAAAAAAAAAAAAAAAGTAGTATTGGTTTGTTATTTAACAAAATTTTTGATCCTAATATTTTGGAAATAGTGCTCCATGTTTTCATAATGTTTCCCTTAATTTGAGTAAATTTATTTTCGTAGTATTTAGTTTTGGCTCTCCTAATTATTTTTGACAGCACTGCTGAGTAAATCTTTGAAAATTCTTTGGAGACAACTCCTAACCTATACTTCTTCTCAGGATCATGTTTTTTTTTAATAGATTTAAGTATCCCCTTTGTAAGCCAAGGATTGTTTAGCCTTTTAGTTGTGACTTGTTTTGTAAGCATAGGACAGGGGGTGTTATAAAGGCTAAGAGTTTTCTGAAGAAAAGATTGCACTGCTAGGTTGATGTCCCCTATGTTACCTAATTCAGATTCCCAGTTGATATTAGCAGCAGCAGCTATAAAATTGCCTATAGCAGTTTCATTGTGCAGCCTAAAGCTTATCTCCTTTGTCTCTAGAGGTGGTTTGTTAATGTTAGGAGAAATGTGGGGTAATGGTCTGTAATGCTATTGGTGATTATCCCTGAAGTAAGCGGAGAGGTTATGTTTGTCCAGATGTGATCTAGAGTCGTGGCAGTACTATCAGTGATTCTAGTAGGTCTAGTGATTGAGGGAATGAGGAAGCAGGAATTCATACAGTTGAGGAAACTAGCAGCAGGAAGGTTATCAGGCTTGCAGAGGTCAATATTAAAGTCCCCTGCGATATTGTTGAACTTGAAGCTGGAGCTCCTTGTGTGTGTTACATTGTGGCTTGTTGAGCTTGAAGAGTGGGAGCCCCTTGTGTGTGTTACACTATACTGGAACCAAGTGAAATAGACTGAATTAATGTTTCCTACCATCAGTATTTCAAGGTTTTGGCGAGATCCGCCTTATCATGTCTGGTTTGCAGCGTTAGCCCTGTGGCCCTCAACTGTTCCTGGGACAAGAGTTGACTTGGATCTAGAAAGATTTTTGTTGCCCGGTGTTGCACTTTCTCCAAAGCAGCCGTGACCTTCTGAAGATGTAGTCTAGAGACATAGTTGAATAATTGTACCTTCTTTTCCTTTGAAATCAATGTTTGGTTTGACTAGTCCTTGAGTTTGGATATATTTTTTTTATACTGCAGTTCCCATTTATTGTTGTGCAACTCTCAGTGAATGGTGGATTCTAACTCCTATAGGTTGTTCATATATCTGCTGCATAGTAGTGTTGACTGCTGGGCTTAATGTGGTCCCACACAAGGGGCACAGATACACAGTACTGGTGCATTTGAGGACACCGTGCCCGAACTTCCAACACTTATTGCATAGTCTAGGAGAGGGAATGTACTCCTGAATGGAGCATCTGGCACCAGCAAGAATAATAGAGGGTGGAAGGGTCCTACTATCAAAGGTGATTTTCACAACTCGAAGGGGCTGACAGCGACGACCACGAGGGGGTCGAGTGAACGTGTCTACCTGGAGGACTGAATGGCCTTGGGCTTCGAGGATATGTTTGATATCCCTATGGCAATTTTTAAGGTCCCGAACACCAGTTGCAACATTGTGTGGGAGGAGAACAGTGCCAACACTGGCATTTAACCGAGCGTTTTTGGAGACCCGAACAGGGGTCTCTCCAATGCAGGACAAAGCGGCTAAGCGAGTAGCTGCATCTTGAGAAGGAGCAGCGACGACACGCGTACCGTAACTGGTGGAGCTAAAAGTAACAGAGGCATCTACTGAATCAACAAGGTGTTTATGGAGGGAGAAATCGTCAGTAGGAGTAGAATCCAGATGGTGGAGATCAAAGTATTTAGCCCATGTAGCGGGACCAAACGAGGCATTGCAAGTACTATAATGGGAAGGGATCGTGCGAGTGCGGCCGTGGCGGGGACGGCGTTGAGAACCCCCAGAGAGAGGGGGTAAAAGGCGCAGTAGTCACAATGAGAGACGAAGCCGTGCCAGGGGACGAGGTGATCACCACTGGCGGCGTGGGGCTCGACCCAACTACAGAGGGAAGGGGAGCCGAGGGGAGTAGTCAGGAGGGTCAGAGGAGCAAGGTCGGGGCCCATTGCAGCATGGGCTACAGAGCCTGGTCTTCCATTACTGTCCGACTCGGGGGCTTGGTCGCCCACCCCACTAACCCGAGAAGGTAGAAGAGGAACAGAATTAGACGTAAGGACGAGAAAAACACATTCATTCACGAATGTGCCCCCATACCCACTACGGAACCACAATTAGAGGCAGGACACCCAACAAGAAGCTATTGCCGATCATGCCAGGGCCCCCTAGGGGTGCATCGAGAGTGTACACCCCACAAAATGCCACCTTAAGAACCGTCAGTCTGTCGAGATCGGGTTCAGTGATGAAAGGATTGACAATAAAAGGTTCCCCTCGCTCTCGACGTTGGGTACTACAGTTCTACGGGTGCAAGAGTATGCCTCCCCAAGCACCCGGGCGTCAAAATAGAAGTCCAAAAGAATAACCAAAACAAGCAAAAGCTCGGCAGGAAATGACAGATAGGAGAAGAGGGGGGAGAAAAACTAAACACAAGTTAAAGGAAAAGCGATCCGGCACAATTGGAGAAGACAGCACCAGGAGTATAAGGTCACAAAAGATCAGAGAACTGTCCCACGGAGCATCGCACTCCAGCAGCCGACCACCGGATGGGGAAGGGGTCCATTTTAGCAATCTCTCCTGCTTTGAAGGGGCAAGTGAGTACTTTGCAGTACTCAAGACATGACAGGATAAGTGATTTGTATAGTACAACTGTTGTGATGGGATCCCTGGACTTTAAATTTTCCTAATCCATCCTCTCATTTTTCTGACTGACGCAATATTTGCTTTGTTATGCTCCCTAAACTTTAGGTCGTCAGACATTATTCCCAAATCCTTTACATGTTGCTTTTCTACTATGGGCAGATTTGATTGCTTTCTCTACCCTGTATTATGTTTAAGGTTTTCATTTTTACCGTACCCGAGTACCTAGTATTTATCACTGCTGAATATACTGTTATTTCCTGTTGCTCAGTCAAAACTATTAATATCGGCTTTAAGTTTTTCAATGTCTTCAGCAGAGGCAATTTTCATGCTGAATTGAGTGTCTACCAAAAGGATGATAAAGCTGTTACTTTTACTTTTTTCTATATCTGTTATGTGAAGGAAAAGCAGTGGTGCCAGGACTGTACCTTGAGGTACAGAGCTTTTAACTGCACTTTAACTTTTATATGGTTGACTTTATGTTCTGTTTGACAAAACTAATATCCAGCGTCCTACTTTACCGGTTATTCCCATTGACCCCATTTTGTGTGCTATCACTCCATGGTCACATTTATCGAATGCCTTTGCGAAGAATGTGCATACCACATCTGCATTCTGTTTTCCTTCTAATGCCTCTGATTTTATTTTAGTGGTCAAGTAGCTGTGAGAGCCATGATCTTCCTGTTCTAAATCCATGTTAGCCACGATTGTGGAGATCATTGATTACCATGAAACTAGTGACCCCGACTCCCAATCACTCGCAAATACTTTTATTATGTGTGACGTTAGTGCAAGTGGTCTATAATTCTTTGCCAATGCTTTGCTCCCTCCCTTGTGTAGAGGGGCTATGTCTGCTGCTTTAAGCACATCTGGCATCTCCGTGTCCAAGCTCTTCCTCCACACTAAACCGAGTGCCTGTGGTACTGGCACCTTGCATTTCTTTATAAATAATGAATTACATGAATCTGGACCCAGCACAAAGTGCATGGGCATGTTTTCAATTTTTCAAAATCTGTCACGCTCGTGTTGATATCGGTTATATTCACATGACAGGGATGGGGTAAGGAATGGGCCCCAACCACTAAAGGTTAGGGATTGAACTGCGACTTGCATGAAACGGGACTGTCAGGCTAGAGAGTAGAGCTGGTTAGGCAAGCTCTAGAGATTATGCACCCGATACCCATCCTGCAGGTTATCTCCAGTTGATTTCGGGGCTTTAGTGTACCCGTGGCCCGGTCCTCGACCAGGCCTCCACCCCCAGGAAGCAGCCCGTGACAGCTGACTAACTCCTATGTACCTATTTACTGCTAGGTAACAGAGGCATAGGGGTGAAAGAAACTCTGCCCATCATTTCTCACTGGCACCCGGGATCGAACGCGGGACCACAGGATCACGTGTCCGGTGTGCTGTCCGCTTGGCCGACCCTGGTAGGTAGTAGTGGCAAAGGTTAAACAATGAATGCCGGGAAGCAAGAACCTTCATTAAATAATATAGGGAAATGCCTGCCAAGCTAGTGCCAAGCACGCACGAGAGCACAGCTACCGATTACTTTTACCACGATGGTTAACAACTTTGCTCTCCAGCATTTGAAGTCTTTAATGGGGTAGAGTCAATCTACTGTACACCACCCCCCCCCCCCATCCACACTTCAAAAACTATATGCTCTTCAGTTCAACATTTAGAACCATCGCTTCATGTTCATCTCCGGCAAACCAACTACCAGTGTAATATTAATGCCTTGAGAGTTGAGAAAAATACAGCAAATTAGAAGAATTATGACTATTAATTTACTGTATTTCAGAACTATTGGTAGGCTATGAAGTAATTATTAGGCAATATGCATATTCTTTGCTTCAGACCTCCAGGCAATACTGCAGAAAGCCTATGGGTCCATACGAGGCAGTTCCTATTTGTACCTCTGCCCTAACTCTCTCTTATGCATCTTGCCTACCTGTACCAGCCTACTGTACTGGTACTGTACTACTGTACTGGTACAGTAGCCTACTGTACTGGTACTGTACTACTGTACAGTACTGGTACAGTACTTCACCCGAAGGTCACATGAAAACACAATCAAAACTTAAATTTTAATAACAATCTGAATGCAATTTACATCAATATCATGTACCAGATTCATGCAACAGAAACCTCAATATGTACACAAAGTTAATATTCTGAAGCACAAACGGCATTTATTTAAATAAAATTCGAGTCTTAATAAAACACCCAAACCTCCCAGAAGAGGGAATGATATTATGCAACTCTAAATTATGGTCTTTGGTCAAGATTTTTTCTTTTAAGAAATGCAAACAAAACTTTAAAGGGACGAGAACACAAACACCAAATCATTAGCCCACAAGCGAGTATTATATCGAGTCCCGCACTCTGGAAGGCCGGCTACACCCACACGTCGAGCGCACACTGGCCACCCACCAAAAGCTGACACGTCTAGTATTCATTTCGTCCAATTGTCTCTTGTGACATGACCAAGAAGCACTACTTGGAAGCTAAACGTTGCTACAACCGTTCATCTCTTGAGGATTTGCTACTCTTTAAAACTTTCGCCGGCAGCATCGCCACCTCAATGGGTAAAAAGTCTGATGCAGATACACTGCACAAGTTACCCCCCTCCCCGGGAAGTCGACTCTTCTCCACAAGCCTTGCAGAACCGCTGCCAAGAACTGTTCAATATATACACACACAATATGTACACAATTAGGAAAAAGCTCTATATTTATCAAGCTTTTCAATATTTATAAAGCTTAATAATCTGGATAGTTTATTTCAACCACTTTATAAGTTTATCACTATAGTTGCCTTCATAGCTGACGGGCAACACTCCAATACCCGGCACATGTACCGTACATGCGCAATACGGTCCCGTGCTGCTCATTACATGCACTCGCCCTTTACAAATATGCCTTGGGATACAAATAATTATCAATGTCAGAAGAGATGAGCACCCTCCTCCTAAACTTCTCTCCAACCCGTCTCGTTGCAAACCAGGACAAGAAAGACACCACGCAGCTCAGATGTCAACACTAGGGATCAAAATTCAGAATATAGTCTTTTAACATTCCCGGAAGTGGCAGCTTGTTCACATGCTGGGCAGTTCTCCGTCCCAAAGCGTCGTATATTATAACTCGACAAACCTGCTTCAGTGTACGCGGTTTGGTATACAGTTCCCTGAAAATAAGAAATATATATATTTATAGTATCGTTATTTGGTGACGAAAACTATTCTACAGCAACATCTTCCAATCAACAAACATACCCAAATTTTATTTCAAGTACCAAGTAGAATTTGATGATGCATTAAATTTCGGAATGGCAACCACTTTCCTGCCCACTTTACATGACCACTTATGGCGGTAGCACACTTGGCCCGCATCCTTAAAGTAGTTTAAGTACTGTACTATCTAAATGCAGGGGAGAAAAAAATAATTAACAGTATCGCTAGCTTTAGACACCGATCACGTACATTTTTTTTCTCTTGAATCCTAGCCGTGGACAGGACTCGCGTCCACTCCAAAAACATTTGTTTAAAATTAATTTTTTATCCGATCGGCCTCGGGATAGTTTCTAAATAAGTGCTTTTAGAGTGCGCACAATTTGAAACCAAAATTAAAGAGGCAACACAAACTTGATGTCAGAACGGTTGAAAGATTATAAATACGTTTTTGGGTTTAAATTATAAATTGTAAAATATTTGTTAAAATTCCATTTATTGTGCTATTATTATGGGACTAGTTTTAAAATGCGCGCCTTTAGATTGTGAACAATTTGATACCAAAACGAGCGATGTAACGAAAATTGATGTTATCAAACTGAACGAGTATACACATTAGGTTGTGGTGTGCAAATTGGTGCTTGTTCACGGGTAACTTTAGGCTTTGCTGCAGGGAGTCTCGCCAGGCTTTTGGACATTATATGCATATACACCTGTAGGGAATTTAATTGTGAACACATTGATACCAAAACGAACGACGTAGCACGAGAATTATGGTGAGAAAAACTAGTACACACATTTAGGCATCGCCCGCACCATCCGCCCCACAACATCAAAGTCTGCGGCACTCATGTACCGTGCACGATAGTGTCAAGCTATTTTAACTAGGGTTCCATCCCTGTGCAGGGAAAGGTTGATGGACACCAGGCCATAAATGTTGGCCCCCTGGCCTATTCACCAGTACCTGGGAACCCAGCTGTAAACCCGTTGGTGCGTTATGTTGGAGAAAAATTAGTCAGGCGTACACGACTACTATAACAATGTTATCTTCTAAATATGCTAACAATGTAGCCTAGTAGTCTATTGCCTTTGTCAACAATCTAGCAAACTTTTGGCTCAAACCCAAGGTGAACAGAAAGTTTAGCAAGTTTTTCACCTCATGCCTTTTATCCTAACAGAAAATAGGTACCCCGAGTTAAAGCAACTGTTGTGGGCTGGGAAAGGTCAGTAGTTGACCCAAGGGACCCTCAATAGACCCAATTACAGAGAGTAAGTCTGTAACACGGACCACCACTCAAGTTATATTATAACCCGGGACCAAACCTTGAAGTAAAAGAAAAGCAGCAGCAGCTTATATTATCCTAACAAATAAGGGGTCAAAGCAACACCAACCTCAGAACATGGGTGAGGGGCCGCTTCATAGGCACGAGAGACGTCTGAGTGTAGAGGATCTTGAGGCACTGGTGCAGCTCCCTGTGGTCCATCGCCAGGTAGTAGAGGTGCAGCAGGCGAGCAAACTTTTGATCGGGGTCAATCAGAAGCTCCTCTTTCCGAATCAGTAGCTGCACATAGTAGTATAGCACCTGCAACGTTAACACTCTTATTAATGTCTTAGACTCTCTCTAAACAGACTCTTGGCTAATTGTCTTTCATCGTGGTACACAACAAAAAACTAGATAAAAAGAATCTTCTAGCAATTTGATAACAGGTGGTGATCTCTAATAGGAATTAGAGTTGCCGAAGGATTAAAGACACCTGTTGAGCAATAAAGCCGAGATCCATGAACACTGAAGAGTGAATAAAGCACAGCAGCAACCAGGCATGTTGCAATACCAAGACAATTTGTTTCCATTCCAGTAATGCCATTTCATTTTTTTGTTCCCAAGAGCACCTTAAGTTGAAGTCTTAAAGTAAACCACTTCAAAAACAATGAAAAAATGGGATAATGTTTAATTATTGGAAATTTAAATTTAATGATGCAAGTGCTGTGCAAGAATGTCTTTTGTGCACTTTAGAACTATTTACCCTCTTTTATGGACAAACTTTACCCGTTAGGACATGCAATCGAGCCGGCAATGATGAAAAATGGGCATCCGACACAATAGACAACACATGCAATGACAGATCGTGTAACATACAGCAACCTGTCCTCGGACCAAGTCCATTCTGTCCAGCGGTCAACCCCAAAGACTTATCAATTTCAACATTGTTATACAAAACTGAACTCTAAAATATAAATTATTATATATTAGCATATTGTGCATATTCAGGCACTGGTTAGGTTAGGTGTTTAGGCTCTGTTGGCCATTATTTGTTACGTGGGTGAATCATTTGTGGTTCAAACTAAATTCGTTAGTGAAACACTTTCTGGAAGTGTTCCAATGTCGTCAGTTGCGAGTCGTGTGCAAACCGTTTTTCATTCATAAACGAGCAGTTTGGCGGGTGCACGGAATGAACTTTGGAGGACTGGATGAATACAGTACATTACAAATTACCTTACAAACACTAGTACCTTTAAAAAATACCTTAAAAATATTAATGTCATCAGTATGGCAAAGTTCAAGTGAAATGCATATTTAGACCACATTTCAAGTCCTTCCCTAAACATTTAAGACTGAGACTGTGCATTCTTTATTCAACCACTAGAATATAGCCACATCACAATGGTCTCAAGATTAGCAACACACACTGGAATCTTGACAATCATCTCCCCCATCTATACTACCGAAACACACACTTCGCTCACAGTCATGCAAACACTACCTATAGAAGATGCACTACTGTAAGGGTCTTTGTACAGAAATGTGACACCCCAAGCTATACCATCCTCCACCGAGTAAGCCACCTAGGGCCCCCCACACCCCCCCCCAAACATACCAGCGATACAAAGATGCGAGAAACAACTACACGGCAGTGAGGAGAGAGGCAGAAAGAAATTTTGAAAAGGGGATTGCAGACAAATGTAAAACAGAACCAGGTCTATTCTATAAATTCATAAACAACAAATTGCAGGTAAAGGATAATATTCAGAGGTTGAAAATGGGAGAGAGATTCACGGAAAATGAAAAGGAAATGTGTGAAACATTAAATGAAAAGTTCCAAAGTGTTTGTACAAAATTAAATCTTCAGGGAACCAGATACAATAAGAATTCCAGAGAACAACAGAGCACATAGGTGTGTCTAGAGACGAAGTGGGGAAAAAATGCTCAAGGAGCTAAATAAGAACAAAGCAGTTGGTCCAGATGGAGTTTCACCATGGGTTCTGAGAGAATGTGCACCTGAGCTCAGTATTCCTCTTCAACTGATTTTTCAGGCATCCCTGTTTACAGGAGTTGTAGCTGATGTGTGGAAAAAGGCTAACATAGTTCCAATCTACAAAAGTGGAAGCAGGGAAGACCCCCTTAATTATAGACCGGTATCATTGACAAGTGTAATAGTCAAAATATTGGAAAAAATAATTAAATCTAAGTGGGTAGAACACCTGGAGAGAAATGATATATCAGACAGACAGTATGGTTTTTGATCTGGAAGATCCTGTGTATCGAATTTACTCAGTTTCTATGATCGAGCAACAGAGATATTACAGGAAAGAGATGGTTGGGTTGACTGCATCTATCTGAACCTAAAAAAGGCTTTCAACAAAGTTCCACATAAGAGGTTGTTCTGGAAACTGGAAAATATTGGAGGCGTGACAGGTACGCTTCTAACATGGATGAAAAATTTTCTGACATAGAAAAATGAGGGCTGTGATCAGAGGCAATGTATTGGACTGGAGAAATGTCACAAGTGGAGTACCACAGGGTTCTGTTCTTGCACCAGTGATGTTTATTGTCTACATAAATGATCTACCAGTTGGTATACAGAATTATATGAACATGTTTGCTGATGATGCTAAGATAATAGGAAGGATAAGAAACTTAGATGATTGTCATGCCCTTCAAGAAGAACTGGACAAAATAAGTACATGGAGCGCCACTTGGCAAATGGAATTTAATGTTAATAAATGCCATGTTATGGAATGTGGAATAGGAGAACATAGACCCCACACAACCTATATATTAGGTGAGAAATCTTTAAAGAATTCTGATAAAGAAATAGATCTAGGGGTGGTTCTAGATAGAAAACCATCACCTGAGGACCACAAAGAATATTGTGCGAGGAGCCTATGCCACGCTTTCTAACTTCAGAATTGCTTTTAAATACATGGATAGCGATATACTAAAGAAATTGTTCACAACTTTTGTTAGGCCAAAGCTAGAATATGCAGCAGTTGTGTGGTGCCCATATCTTAAGAAGCACATCAACAAACTGGAAAAGGTGCAAAGACATGCTACTAAGTGGCTCCCAGAACTGAAGGGCAAGAGCTACGACGAGAGGTTAGAGGCATTAAATATGCCAAAACTAGAAGACAAGAAAAAGAGGCGATATGATCACTACATACAAAATAGTAACAGGAATTTATAAAATCGATAGGGAAGATTTCCCGAGACCTGGAACTTTAAGAACAAGAGGTCATAGATATAAACTAGCTAAACACAGATGCCGAAGAAATAAGAAAATTCACTTTCGCAAACAGAGTGGTAGATGGTTGGAACAAGTTAGGTGAGAAGGTGGTGGAGGCCAAGACCGTCAGTAGTTTCATAGCGTTATATGACAAAGAGTACTGGGAAGACGGGACACCACGAGCGTAGCTCATCCTGTAACTACACTTGGGTAATTACTCACACACCACACCTGCTATACCAACACCCTTAACGAGGCTTCCTTATGCCAGTCACTGTATACTTTTGTCTATACACATACAAATTCTTTTATCACATTAAGCTCACCATCAAAGTTCAAATATATTATCTTACATGGTTTGTCTGCCTAAATATGCCATATGCACATATTTAATATATTCCATTCAAACCTCTGATGCATTAGGATGGTACTTAACATTCTAACAACTTTCACCAACAAACTAGTTGCTTGCCACTAGCAAAGTTTTATTCTATATAGAGTACTGTATACATATAAAAGCTCAAAACTTTCTAAAAATCCTTTATTTACCTTCAAAACCAAAGGCAAAGTAAATGTCTCAAAATACCTTGCACTACAGAAGCCACAGATAAACATTAATTTATCCAGTTACGGCAATATTTAATACTAATGCCACAAATACCACAAGGCAGCACCTGATTGGACGACTTCTTGAGGAAGACGGACGACTGCGAGTGGCAGATCATGGGTTCAGTCGTGGAGATGTTTATGTTAGGGTTGGCGCCATACTGAAGGAGGGTCGTGGTCAAGTCGTAAACGTGATCCAAGTCGGTGGAGGTTCGAGCATTCTGCACCATGTCCATTAGCGAGAGCAGAATGTGTTGCGTTCGCTGACTGAATCTACGAGAGAGAGAAGAGGGTGCAGAAAATGTAGCAACTTTTAGTATGTAGCAACGAGTGTTACAGTAGGTGTTCTTAAAAGGGAGTAAATGACTTTCCTCTATTTGCTGAAATTATTACATAACCAATTTCCCCCTCCTCCCCCCCAATTAGCATTATATTCTAACTGCTTATGTCTCCATAATTACAGAAAAATGCCTGTTATTCCACCCAAGCTTTGCTTTAGCATTTGCCTAAGCCAGCTTAAGGAAAACTTCTTTAAAGTACTTTAAGGCCTGCTTGAGGACGCTATGCCCCAAAATCGATCACAAGGCTAGAGTAGTTAACAGATGGAATGTGTTAGGCAGTGATGTGGAGGAGGCTGACTCCATACACAGTAGAGCCCAATAGGCTCAGGAATCTGTACATCAGTTGATTGACAGTTGAGAGGCGGGACCAAAGAGCCAAAGCTCAACCCCCGCAAGCACAACTAGGTGGGCGAGTACAAGGTATGGCAACTTACAAAACTGTCGCCGTTCTAGACAAGGAGTCGATAACCTTCACGTATGTACCTTCAAAACTGCCTCCCTAAGCCGTCTTGGCAAAGATTAAGGCTAAGCTGTAGTGAATAACCATTTTCTATACTCTGTAGTTATAAGCAGTCTGAAATATAACACTGACCAGGAAAAAATATTAAATTGTTACACTGGTGTTGTATATAAAATGGCACACAATCTAGAGCAAGATGAAAACGTCAAACCAAGATATTAAAAAAAAAAAAAAAAAAAACTTAGTTGCATACGAATGCGATCGTAATTCAAGGGCGAATGGTACCCAAGTAGTAGCAGGTCAAGGTGTTCACGATTCAATCTAGTACTTTTGCCAAAAGGTAAGAAGTGTCTCCGAAAAGAGGAGAAGCATAGTTCACACAAATTAGATTCAAAATAAGATTTACATTGTCCTATCTATACAAGTTACTCATGCTTAGAAAATTTATGTGCAAACCAATCACTACCAACTACCAATGAAACTTTTGGGTCTCTACAGCATCCAGTTCAAGATCCCTGTAGCAAGTTCAGACACCAAATTAAAGCATTGGGTCAACTTAGTTATATTTTCAATCTCTGCAAATAAGTAAAGTAACTTTTCTGGTGGATACCAAGTTGCTCCTAGCTTCTTTGGCATCACTAAGCCTTGACCCAGTACACTGAGCTTTTGAGACCATCTACTGTGAACCAGGACCAGATACAGGCTCACTCTACAAGACAAGATCAGCAGCTAATCTGATCAACCCCAGATCATCATGTGCATAGCTGTTATGAAACTAGCAATTGCTCAAATGAAATTAGAGACTAGTAGACCGAGGAACAACCTGCCATCATCGCCGTTGTGTAAACACCTTCACTGATGCGGCCAACTACTGGTAGACGGCTGACGGGTCATATTTATGGGCAAACTCCTCTCAGCCCATATTTATGGGCTGTAACTCACAGGTACCTATTTACTGCTAGGTGAACAGGAGCAACACAGTGAAAGGCACTGCCCATTTGTTTCCGCCTCCACTGGGGATTGAACCCGGAACCTCAGAACTACGAATCCCTGTTGTTCACTCGACCGTCAGGCCTGGCAAGTTATGCAACCGAAAGCTAATTATAGATTGAAAAAATATAAATTTTACATTCATTACCATACGAGCTTCAGGAAACTAATTTCCAGGCAACCTGTGGGAATTCACTATACAATCTGCAGTAGGGGGGGGGGGGGGGGCAGATTAATTTGTTCATCCAAGAAATGGACCACTGAAACTAAAATATGTCAGCACAATTAAGTTTACCTCACATTAACATCTTTTCAGCCAGATTTCACACCAAGTTTCCTCTTCTACTGCTGTCAAATAGTTGGCTTTAGCACTATACATAACCTATTCTCTCAGCATTTCCAATTTGTGAGAAACTGCATTAAATCTGCTAAAGTACACCCAACAATCATTAGCTACATAGGAAGAACCAAAATGACAGTTACAAGAGTGAGAATCAAACACTAGATTACACACCTCCATTAAACTTGGAAGCAAAGAGCAAAAAGGAAAAAGTTTACACAGCTGCAATTTGAGCAACAAGATCTCTAAAATAACTAGTCGAGCCTGGCCTCAGGCTGGGCTCGGGGAGTAGACACTCGCATACCGGGAGAAGGGCTCGGGTTCAGGCAACCAAGGGAGAGGGGCTCGGGTTCAGGCAACCAAGGGAGAGGGGCTCGGGTTCAGGCAACCAAGGGAGAGGGGCTCGGGTTCAGGCAACCAAGGGAGAGGGGCTCGGGTTCAGGCAACCAAGGGAGAGGGGCTCGGGTTCAGGCAACCAAGGGAGAGGGGCTCGGGTTCAGGCAACCAAGGGAGAGGGGCTCGGGTTCAGGCAACCAAGGGAGAGGGGCTCGGGTTCAGGCAACCAAGGGAGAGGGGCTCGGGTTCAGGCAACCAAGGGAGAGGGGCTCGGGTTCAGGCAACCAAGGGAGAGGGGCTCGGGTTCAGGTAACCAAGCCAGCCAAAACTTTACTACCTACCTAACATTGGGGTCAAGGCCGTGCTGCAAAAGAATTACCAGCAACTGCCGGATGAACGTGAAGGCTCCGGCTTTCTCCTCTTCACGGGAGAGGGAGATGTTCTCGCTGGCGGTGAACATGAGCACGTGCAGAGGTGTCAAGTTGGAGCGTGACGAGCAGTTCGGGTTAGCACCATGCTTGCACAATATTCTCACACAATTTAAGTAGAACACCTGCAAGAAAAATATTTCTAGTAACACATCCATTTGACACTTCAAGTGGTTATATATATATATAAAATTATGTACAAGAGGCCTGCTAGATACACTACTGTAATTGACAGTAGTTGCTCTTACAACTACAACCCCCCCTTGAAGAGTTGCTCTTACCTCCCCCTGTTGCTACCAATCTCCATCCATTTACTCGCCTTCATGGTGTGTGTGAAGTGGTGCAGAGGATCCTTATTGATGAGCGGCACGAGGCACACCATTAACGACACCGATCCATCCCTGCCCACCAAATTGGGGTTCCCACCGTAGTGCAGCAGCATGTCCAGGAGCTCGTAACGAAACTCCCAGTCTCGAACATGGCGCAAGACGCAAGCCAGGGCCGAATTACCCTGTTGATTTATGCTTGGCGATGCCCCATTTTGAAGTAGATAGCGAACTATGTGAAGCATGTCCCACTTATTCCAGGGAGGTGGGTCGTGGTCATACCCATATCTAGCTTCCTCCAATGCATATCTACAAGATCAGAAACAATGCCACAATTACATTTTGGGATTTATACAAATATTTCCATTACGGTATACAAGCACACAGCAAATTTTGAGAGGTGTGCTATTAGAACACAAAGGAGGCAAGTAGCCAAGAAACTGAGAATTTGAAAAGTCTCACTTTTAATAAAGTGTTTAATAAAGTACTTTAATATGCATGCCAAGGGTAGCTCGCTTGCCTAACTGACTTGCCACGTTCTTTTTTCCCTGTGACTGCAAGGGCAGTCCACTTCAAAACCGACAAGCAAAACTAAACTCTGCCTTGGCAACACTTTATGCACCCTTGCAAAACTTCACTAACAAAACAAGTGAATCTCTTGTTCTTGTCAAAGAACAAGAGATATTTTATATTCTCCAAGATTCTACATCAGTTTTAGTTATCAAAAGTATCTTTAAAGTCTACAATATCTTAAGTCTTAGCCTTTCCTCGTGCAATGTCTCCCTCCTTATCTACCTCCTTTTTTGTCTGCAGGTCTGGAGTCACTCTAGACCTGTCAGTCCCCGAGTTCTGCCATTTTCAGGGTAAACAAGGATGGTCATTAACCAAACCAGGTTAGTAAAGTTCTGCCATTTTCAGGGTAAACAAGGATGGTCATTAACCAAACCAGGTTAGTAAAGTTCTGCCATTTTCAGGGTAAACAAGGATGGTCATTAACCAAACCAGGTTAGTAAAGTTCTGCCATTTTCAGGGTAAACAAGGATGGTCATTAACCAAACCAGGTTAGTAAAGTTCTGCCATTTTCAGGGTAAACAAGGATGGTCATTAACCAAACCAGGTTAGTAAAGTTCTGCCATTTTCAGGGTAAACAAGGATGGTCATTAACCAAACCAGGTTAGTAAAGTTCTGCCATTTTCAGGGTAAACAAGGATGGTCATTAACCAAACCAGGTTAGTAAAGTTCTGCCATTTTCAGGGTAAACAAGGATGGTCATTAACCAAACCAGGTTAGTAAAGTTCTGCCATTTTCAGGGTAAACAAGGATGGTCATTAACCAAACCAGGTTAGTAACTCAACACTAGAACAGTGCAAGTACTGTATTTGACATTACTTGAAATTTACAATGCCTCAAGGTGCAATATCCAAGATATACTTTTACAACAACAAATTGACAAACATTTCAATACATTTTTAATACATTCGAGTACACTTTACATAAGTGGATACATCAGCAGACAACTTCCAACTCCCGTTAGAAGGCCGAGAGCTGTCTCCGTGCCATAGCCTGCAGCAAGCGTTACCATGCTAGTGTTAGAAGGCCGAGAGCTGTCTCCGTGCCATAGCCTGCAGCAAGCGTTACCATGCTAGTGTTAGAAGGCCGAGAGCTGTCTCCGTGCCATAGCCTGCAGCAAGCGTTACCATGCTAGTGTTAGAAGGCCGAGAGCTGTCTCCGTGCCATAGCCTGCAGCAAGCGTTACCATGCTAGTGTTAGAAGGCCGAGAGCTGTCTCCGTCCCATAGCCTGCAGCAAGCGTTACCATCCTAGTGTTAGAAGGCCGAGAGCTGTCTCCGTCCCATAGCCTGCAGCAAGCGTTACCATCCTAGTTTTCCCTGGAACACTACTCGCCAACCTTGGCAATTATTGCTCCGTGAACGGTGAAATGGTTAAAGCTTAGCACCTAGTCAAGCCTCCCTGGCCACGAATCTCGCCCAGACCCAATCACTTCAAGAAGAATGTGCCGCCACCACTCTACCACGGCCTATAAATATTCGTGAAGCATCCCTAACCACATGCATTACAGTTAAAAAAAAGAGACACTGGTTTATTTTGCAACCTATTTTTAATTATCTAGCATTAGTAGTTTACCATGTTATTCAAAATAATTGTGTAGCAGGGTCAGTATGAATAGTTTGAGTCTCACATTTACAGTGAATACGGTACAGGCACACGGCAAAGTAATAGACGTGACAACTTTGTTACACTAGAAAAAAAATGCTAACTGCACACAGCAACTTTTATAAGCATTACATCATACACTTAAGGGGGCCAGGTGCTCAGAAATATTCATCCAAATATGAAATGGAAATTTTTATAGAAAAATTTCTATAATTTCTATATAGAAAAATAGAACTTTTATAAAAACTTGTTTGCTTTAGCGGTGTGAAAGTTTCATCCAATATTTTCAGAAATGAATTTGACTTTTTTAAAAGAACATTTTGTTGACATGAACAGCTACTAACGGGAACCGAGGAATAATGCAGTAATAGAGAGATTCATGCACCTGTCCGACGCACAAAGAGTAGTAGTAGTAGTAGTTAGTAGTAGTAGTAGTAGTAGTAGTAAGAAGTGTCCACAAAGTGGATATGCAACTGGTGCCTTTATAGCATTGCTGAGTAATACACAACACAGAATGAATATGTTATGCTGTATTTGGTTATATAAACAATGCCTGATGTTGTAATTCGTTACTTTCACCAATATCCATTTTTAGGGGGGGGGGGGGGGTTGAAATTTGTATTTTTTGTTTTCTTTCTTTGATTGTTTGTCATCTGATTTTATTGTAACTTCTACATCATGGAGAATGCATACCAGTCAATGTGAAGCTAGAATGAAATTAGTAAACAGATTTGTCATAGCTGGCAGGACTTTTGACTGAATTTTGTTGGACTGATTTTTTCAAAGATTACAAATTATTTTCTTTGTGTAGGTCGTCTGACCTAACCTTTGGGTTGCCTAACAGCCAAGTAGACTGTTTCCGATTCATAGTCCTAAGGTTCCGAGTTCAAGCCCCAGTGGAGGTGGAGACAAATGGGCAAAATGTTTATTTCACCCTGATGTCCCTGTTACCTAGCAGTAAAGAGGTACCTGGGAGATAGACAGCTGCTATGGGCTGCTTCCTGGGGTTGTGTATAAAAAAAAAAAAAACCTGGTCGAGGACCAGGCTGCGGGGACGCTAAGCCCCAAAATCGTCACGATGAGCTTGAGAAGGTCATTTTGATTATGGACCAGATTAGGGCTTTATCCTCAAAGTCTTCACATACATCCCCTAAATCCTTATAATTATCCCTATATTTGTTTGTGTGTTTGTTTGTGGGGGGGGGGGTATTTTCTTTATTTCAAAACACTGACCAACAACTCACATTCTAGTAGAAATGCCATGCAATATTTATTAAAACTTACAAGATAAATTCAACTTTATTGTTGATAAGCTTACCTTCCTTTTTCTGTATGAACAGGATTTTCAACTTTGAAATTTAACTAAAAATTCAGTTTTGAGCAATTATCACCATTTTTACACACAGTATGTGCAAATTTTGTAGTTCTAAGGTTTCTATTTATCGTTTATTCATAAACCCATAACTCTGAGTTACACATTTTGTGTCTAAATTTCACACATGTATTTTGAAGGCCTTTTTTTTTTTTTCACCAGTAAGCTATACTCTAAATTTTATACAGTAGAAAATGAACGTTACATGCCGTTCCGAGCCCATAATGAATAAAATTGGTGACATTTTATATAAGATACTCATTTTTGAAATTTTATTTTATTTTCTGATCACATTATGACGATCTATTACAAAACGGAGCATTTACCATGTAGATTATGCACAAGAGAGATTTAGTGAGGAAAGTTGATAAATGGTTGATCAATTGTGCACCGAGTCCCCCAAAGTGCGATCTTCAAGTGGCTTTATCCGCTGCACTCCGCAAAGCACCTAAACCCTTACACTGCTCAGCATAAGGGGGCATAATTTGAAAAATATTCAAATTATGTAAACATGGCTTAAAAATGTTGAACAGCTGTCTGTTCTGCAATCCCTATAGAATTTATTTTCCACAAACTCAACATTTGGAGTTATAATTTGTTAAATTTGCACATATTTCAAATGCAATATTGACAAGTTTTTTTTTTTACAGTAAACAATACTGAAAACCTATATTCTAAAATATATGAAAAAGATCATACGTTATTCTGAAAGCATAACAGAAACACCAAATGAACAATATATTTTTTATTTTTGCAGCCGATTTCAAAACATGAAGTTTTCAATATTCAATTTTATGATTATGTTTTATTTTCTTGTTTTTTAAGTTACACTGGTATCATTTAGACAAAGCTGGAGTATTTGCCTAGTAGATTATGCAAAACACATTTGAAAGTTACAGAAAATTAAAAAAACTGAGCTCAATGTCACATCATTCGATGCTTTGTGCAGTTTAGGAGTTATGGCACTCTGAGGGTTGCAATTTTTTTTTTTAATTAGGCCGTATTTAAGTTTTTTTTTTTTAAATGTTTCCATCGATCTTTGTGATGTGAATGAAAATGATTGAGTTTGGAAACATTTGGCATTAACATTAGCTGAACCTTCATAAAAACAACAAAAATATATCCTTAACAACTGCACCATAAAATTTTTGCCAAAAACAGGTGCATAGTCCAGGGATTAATAAGGGGAAAACACAAAATGTAGCAGTACACACATTCAGTTAATGGTGGACCAAAAGCCATGTTTCCTATCTGTCGAAAAATGCTTGTTTGCGACTTGAGAACTAGAGAGTTGCCGCCAAGAGCAACTTTAGACCTGTAAACTAAATGGGAAACAAAGCAAGCAGAAGGTAAAGGGATGAGGGAGGAGGAAGTAGTGGAAGACGAATAGCGTCCATGACCAAATGAACCTTTAATACAGATGCACACTACTACAGTACTTACCTCACTATAAGAGCGTGTAGTGGTGTATTCCCGAGAGAGTCTGCAGTGTTTATGTGCTCTTTGAGGCCGTGCTGTAGGAGCAATTTCACAGTCTCCAACGTGTCTTCTGCACTCTTTTTACCCAGGAGGAAAACTACATGGAGAACGGTCATCTGCTGCGTGTATGTGCGCACGGTGGTTTCTGCGCCGCACTGGATGAGCAGATCAAGGAATTTGAGGTCATGGAGAGCAGCCTGATGAATAGGGTAGTACTCATCGTAGCACTGGTTGATCTCGTCCGATCTGTCAAAAACTCTGCCAAGTTAAATGAAATGCCATGCCCTACTAATATAAAATAAACTAATCTCGGCAAAACCTAGGCCCACTTGTTATTCACCTACAGGATAATTTATTACAACTAGGAATGACAAATTTTAGGACATTAATGAAGAGCAAGAACCAGCCATTGTGTGCACGTCAACCTTGCCAGGTAGAAGAACAATTATTGCTTAGTCTACTAGGAAGTTTCTCAACATGAATCTCTGAACAGAAGGCAAGAAGTCTTAAATTAACAAGCAACTTCACCGACTTAAGTTGTCGCAAAGAGAAGCGAGCAAATTAGCATTAGGGCAAGAGCGTGTGTAGGAGAGCCAGTAGGCTCTCCTACACACATGGCAGGTGTAATAAAGGCAGGTGGAGCAATGGTGCTCGACAACTTCAGTAACTCCCACAATTGTATTGCTAATGGCAGGCTTTTTATCAAGCCAAAAACTACTAAAAAATGGAGAAATGGCAACACCATAGCCTCAAGACCTTATTTGTGGAAATTTGGACCCATATAGCTATTTACCAGTTTTGAAAACTGCATTTGTGCTCGTTTTTTTTTTTTACCACACTGTAGCAAATTCAGAGCCATTAAAAATTTTGGACTACAGTACAGCATTGCAAGTAACTAACCAAACCCATATGTGAAATTAACACTTTCCCTGTCTCATGACAATGCATTACCAATTTTTCTGCCGAGTTCTATCGTGACATCATTTGCAACCAATAAAATATTTGTATAAAACTAAATTTTTATCCAATCGACTTTGGGATAGTTTCAAAATGAGCACCTTTAAATTGCACACAATTCGATATCAAAATGAAAGATGTAACATGAAACAATGTCAGAACACCTGAAAGATTATAAATACTTTTTGGGCAAAATTTTAAAATTTGTTAAAATTCTATTTATTGTGCTATTATGGGACTTTTTAAAATGCGCACCTTTTGATTGTGAACAATTTGATACCAAAATGAAAGATGTAACACGAAAATTTATGTCAGAACACTGGAAAGATACCAATTTTATGATGAGCATCCAAATTTAAAATGTTAAAATTCCAGTTACGTATTGCTCTATTATTATGGGACTAGTTTTACAATACACGCCTTTATATTGCGAACAATTTGATACCAAAATGAAATACGTAAGATGAAAATTGATGTTATCAAACTGAACGAGTATACACATTAGGCTGCAGTGTACAAATTGGTGCTCGTTCACGGGTAACTTTAGGCTTTGCTGTGGGGAGTCACGCCGGGTTTTGGACATTATATGCATATACACCTGTAGGAAATTCTATTGCTAACACAACGATACCAAAACGAACGACGTAGCACGAGAATTAAGGGGAGAAAACAAACGAGTACACACATTTCTGTGTTGCCACACGCTCGCCCACACCGCCGGGAGCATGACGTCAAAGTTTGCGGTGCGACCGCGCGCGAAAGTGTTAAATCAATCCTGCGATAACATGGCAGTAGGCGCGCACACAATTGGTTCTCCACTAACTTTTTTTTTTTAAGTCAAGTGATCATCTTTAATCACTTTTTAATTATCAGTCAATAAACACTAGACAATACCAGAAGTCAATTCTCTGGAGGCTTACCTCTCCAGAACCAGGTACTTCACACAGTTCCAAGCGCCCCGTTCACAGGCAATGTGCAATAATGGTCGTTTTTGTTGCCATGGAAGCCAATGGTCTTCACCCTGCTGCGTCAGCAACTCCAAGATGTCCACCTGAGTAATTAGAGAAAATTACTCGGGGGAAACCATGCTACAGAAAATATTGTACACAACTTTGGTTGCACAAGCTGATATTTCCCTTTTCCAGAATTAAACCATTCTTAACCTACAAAACATAATAGCCCAGTTATGAAATCCAGTTACATTTTTAAACAAATTTCTTAATATTTAATTCAATGTAAAATGTAATTTATTTTAGTCAATGTAGTTTGCCATTAGAGCCGAAATACACCGGCAAAACGTGCCATAAAATTACAATAAGAACTTGAAGGCCAACAAACTATAGCATCAGTTATAGAAATTTAAACCCTCAGCATTTTATATTAAAGTAAAAGTTTGCCATCTCACTTGGTCTCCATCTATAGCATAATATATGGCGTTCTGCAGCTTGTCGCTCGATCGGTCTCCCATGGCCACATCTGGTACACCTGCAAGAGAACAAAACCTCCTGTAGTGCAAGTACGGCGAGGACATGGACATGTACATAATCAAAGCCACTACATTTAACAGTGTGTACGTCTGATACCATACTACTTGTGTAAAGGAGGAAACGTATATGTTTATTGTTTGTGATGTGTATATATATGTACGAACACGTTTGTGGTGTGTGTGTATATGTACGAACTGCCGCCAGCGTGACCTGCTCCTCACCAGTAGCTATTGCAGCTCTTGCTACAACCGGCGAGTGGAGCATGTGACTATGACCTGCTCCGGGTTCTGTTCCTACAACGCTTGCCCTTACACAGTCGCATGCTATGCATTGCCCAGAGCGACGACGTGTCACCATAGCCTGGCGAAAATTGCAGACCAAATCCATAGTGCACCAGGCAACTCACCCTGGTCAGGAAATACCCTTGTCTCTGACCACTTGACAGCGATGACCCAAATGAACAGCCAACACCTCGGTGCTATTCAGAGCCGCCAACATTCCCAGGCCAAGTCCCACAGCCCATCCTTGACAGTTGACTCCAACCCAGACTACTACTACTACCAACATCGCATGTTTGGGGCTAGAGCCCAGAACTGCCGCCAGCAGTGTGCTTATTCGGGAAATGACTCCGGCGGAGACTTAACGGCCAGCAACTCCGCTACCTTGGCCGATTCGCTTTTATATGGAGGTCAATTGTACCTCTCGACGCTGTTACCTGGTTGACATGGATGCTTCAGTTTGTTCTCCCTCCAGTGCACAAGCCACCTTGCCCTCCACACCATGACATGGTTGCTGCCAACGGTTCTGTCGTACCTACCTACGGCGATAGTGTAGTCACACGTGATTTTGCTGACCTGTTGCTTTACATGGACGTATGCCGCCATTCAACACTTCAGGCATTTTCTCGAGGGACGTGACTTCCACATCCTCACCAACCATAAACCGCTGGCTGCTGCCCTGGCAGCAAAAGGAAGATTCCCACTCCTCTTGAGGTTATCTTGAGATGATTTCGGGGCTTTTTAGTGTCCCCGCGGCCCGGTCCTCGACCAGGCCTCCACCCCCAGGAAGCAGCCCGTGACAGCTGTGACAGCTGACTAACACCCAGGTACCTATTTTACTGCTAGGTTACAGGGGCATAGGGTGAAAGAAACTGACTATTGCTTCTCACCGGCGCCCGGGATCGAACCTGGGACCACAGGATCACAAGTCCAGTGTGCTGTCCGCTCGGCCGACCTGCTCCCACTGCAAGTGGGGCCAGCAAGTTACTCAAAATTTGAGCTATATATCCCAGCTCACGACTGACATCAGGCATGTGAAGGGGACTGAGAATGTTGTTGCCGATGCCCCCTCTCGACCTGGCTTGTGTGCACTTTGGAGACGACCCACAACTACGCAGAAATTGCTAGAGCCCAGCAACAGGACCTGGAACTCCTACAATTGTGCACCCCTTCCTCAGCACTTCGGTTCGTCTATGTACCTATGCCTAATTCCGAGGATACTAATCACGTGTGACATCTCTCATTGGCATCCTACAGCTATATACTGTACTGTATATGCCAAATACTTATCGGCAGAGGATCTTCACGACTCTCCATTCCTTGGTTCACCAAGGCATCCGAACTACACTACACCTTCCTGACCAAACTGACAGTATGGCCAGGCATTAACACTGATGTTCAAAGTTGGGGTTGGAACTGCCTCCAGCGTTGGCAATCAAAAATACATTAACACACAGACGCCTCTTCAGAACTTTCCATTACCATCGGCCAGATTTAAAGTAGTGCATGTGGATATCGTTGGTCCATTTCCTCATTCTGGGGGATGCTTGTACCTACTCACTGTAGTTTACCACTTTTCCAGATGGCCTGAGGCAGTTCCCATGGAGGAAATGACAGCAGTTAGTAGTTCGGGCTTTCCTTCATGGGTGGGTCTCCCATTTTGGAGCCCCTGCAACGACTGTCACAGACCTGGGTCGACAATTTTAATCACGCTTTGAGGGTTCTTGGTATCACACATCCAAACTCCAGCCTACCATCCTCAGGCTAACGGGATGGTTGAACAGTTTCATCGCCAACTGAAGGTGGCTCTAAGGACAAAACCAAACCCGACATCATGTATCAACAACCTTCCTTTGGTACTCTGGCATCCATTCAACAACTTGAGGACAGTGGGTTCTCAGCGGCTGACCTTGTACTGTATATGGTTCCAATCTCCCACTTCCTGTCGATCTGATCACTCCAACACCATACCATGAGCCAATGGACAAGTCTGCCTTTGTGGAGCGACTTTGGAGGGCGATGTTGCAGATTTGTCCTATGCCCCCCCCCCCCTTCACCCATCTACACGCCCTACCTACATACCCCAAATCGCTCTGTTAGCCACGTGTTTCCGAGGGTTGACAATTGTGACGGCAGCCATATGAGAGACCTTTCTGGGTTATGTCGAGGACTTTGAAAACCACAACCATCGACCGTCGGGGGGCTAAAGTGGTTGTCACGATTGATCGGGTGAAAGCAGCACATTGACGCCACACCAGCAGTGGTGATCCCAGCTGTTTCTCGTGTGGAAGTTTGGTACTCATGCCAACAAGCCGAATCCCCACCAGTAGCAGACCTTCCTGAAGATGTACCTACCGATTTCTTTCATCTACCGGTACCATCTCCAGAGCGGAGCCTTCCAGCGCCTGTGGATGAATGTATGAACAACAGCGATGGCGACGTCAACATGGAGGGTCTCACAGGACGCACAGTACACCGACCTGCCCGATTCCTGGACTCTCTGGCATCTCGTCTTGAGAGGGAGGGGGGGGGGGTCGTGGGTGGCGAGTACTGTAGTGACTTCAGTACCCCCTACAACACTGCCAAGTTGAGGGAAAATGGCAGAGGAGCAGAAGTGAAGCAACCGACCAGCAGGAGGGGAACAACAAGCAGAGAACCACGAGACTAGACGCGCTCTCTCACCAACTTGTCCTCTTAAAAATAATGTTACTTTTTGCTCGTATGCTCGTATAAACTCAAGGAGGGTATGTGAGCAACCTGTTTGTTCTCTTAGAAATGTCGCTTTTGGCCGTTTGCCTGTATGGCCAAAAGTGGACGTAATTTGAAATAAAATACTCACAAAAGTGACGTACTGTCCCGTTTTCTGTGAGTCGTCTGGCTTACTCAGAAAGGTTAGGAGAGGAAACTTTCAATTAACATTTTTCATACAAATTTGAAACTATTTCCTGCCCACCTAACCTACCAGAGGACCCATAACTTACTGTTTTTTTTCAAATTACGTCCACTTTTGGCCATACGGGCAAACGGCCAAAAGCGACATTTCTAAGAGAACAAACAGGTTGCTCACATACCCTTCTTGAGTTTGTATGGTTGTAGAACATGTGTTGATCAGACTTTTTACTTAACCCTTGTCTGGTGGATATTAGGGCACTAAAAGGCATTTGGACTGTAGAAATGAATTAATTTTTTTTTTTTTACCATAAATTATGGAAAGCTCACAATGCTGCTTTACGTGTTTAAAATGTAGCTAATGAAGATGCTCTTGAAAAATTGTGCGATGCCATGAATGCTTTGCATCTGAAGACAACTTGTTAAATTTTGCATTTGGCATATTATTTAGCACAAGAGGCAATTGAAATATTTAAGTTTGGAGGAATTACCATAAGCAACAAGAAAAATTCTTAATTATCAACAGTGTCTTACTAGTCTTGTGAGCAATTTCCAGCACTGTTCAAGCCCATCCTGTTTTGGTAGTACTTATAGCAATGATGAGGACCACAGAACAGTTACATGGTACATATTACTATGTACTGTACCAAGTTAATATATAGTTATATACCGACGTACAACGCAATTAAAATGTAGAAATCTTTACTATTGAGTTGGACAAACAGGAAGACTACTTTTTACTTGTGTTGCTTTGACACAAAACTAACCTATCCTAACTACCCTAGGCTTAATTCACGATATCCGAGGCCTAACACATGTAATTACCTAAGTGTAATTACATGTGTTAGGCCTCGTACATGTGCATGTACGCGCTATACTAGGCCTAGGAATATTCAAGTGGGTTTTGGCTTCACCAATTTGAAAAAGAATTCCATACTAGTCAATATACTACCATCTAAAAGCTAAGAACGTACAAATTTTGACTACTGACTATTGTCACAATAGGTACTACCTGAGCGGGAAGGGTTGGTATATTCATGACTACATCTATGAAAGGCTCTCAAAGTATGTATAAACCACTTAAAAAGGGGCCATTAGATCCCAATTTGCCCAAAATATGCAATAAATGAAAACTCATTCGATTTCAATCAAACTTTTTTGACTAGTTGTACATGAAGTGTTTCATGTGGTAAAAGTTTCAGCATCGTAGCAGCATAAATATGAAGGGATAATAAAAATACTTGATTCAAGTGTCAAAATTATACCAAAATGCTCAAAAATGATTATCAAACAAAAGTGTCAACTGACATCATATCTACGACTCTTTGCTATCACAATACCATATATTAAAAAATATAATTAGTTTGAGTAGAAAAAAACTTAAGTTATTTTTTTTTTCAATGTTTTTTTTTATCGAACGATTTGCATGAAACTTTTATACCAGACTGCACAAGCCTATCTGTAAAGGTGCCAATTTTAGAGAAAACTGGTTGATGTCAACCTCAGCCACAGATTTTAGCACCTTAGATTATTATTTTCTTATTTATTTTCAAGTAACAAAAGTTGAAATAACACTTTCATTTTTTATTCAATATACAGTACACGAAACGTACACCGTATATGTAGAGTGCAAGTTTCTAAGTTTGGTAGTAAGAGTTTTTCTCTAACTTCATTTATTGATTTTATAATAGCAATAAACATGACATATTTGCATAATTTTTTGGTGGAACTTTGACTATTTGTATTAGGAAAACTAAAGATGTTTTGGAAAATCTCTTGCTACCAATCCTTTATTATATGCTAATGTGTCAGAAAAGTGTCAGAATGATTA